ATCTACATTGTTGTGCATTCATTCCCTTTTATGCTGAGTATGATTGAATGTTATGGGTGTACCACAGTTTCTTTACCCACTTACCTGTTGAAGGATGCTTGAGTTGTTTCCAGTTTTGGCTACTATGAATAAGCCTTCTTTGAACATGTATAGATTTTTTTTTTTGAGACAGAGTCTCACTCTGTTGCCCAGGCTAGAGTGCCTCGAACCCCTGGGCTTAAGCGATCCTCCTTCCTCAGCCTCCCGAGTAGCTGGGACTACAGGCATGTGCCATCATGTCCAGATAATTTTTTTTCTATATATTTTTAGTTGTCCAGCTAATTTCTTTCTATTGTTTTTAGTAGAGACAGGGTCTCACTCTTGCTCAAGCTGGTCTCAAACTCCTGAGCTCAAAGGATCCACCCACCTCGGCCTCCCAGAGTGCTAGGATTACAGGCGTGAGCCACTGCACCTGGCCCATGTATAGATTTTTATGTGACTATAAATTTTCATTTCTCTGGAATAAATGACCAAGAATGCAATTTCTAGGTTGCATATATGTTGGTTTATTTATCATCCTCACTAGACAATTGACACTTTGAGGTCAGATTCTTAGCTCTATTTGTATTTGAGTCATGGGTGCTTAGTATGTGTCCCACATATGGCAACACTCAATGAAACACTCAATAAAATATGGAAGACCAGAAAGAAGGAAGGAGGAAGGGAAAAAGAAAAAGAAAGAAAGGAGGAAAGAAATCTTCTATTACTCTCATATGTTAGCTATTCTGACCCCTATACCTCCCAACATCTCATTATCTTTTAATTTTTTTAATGAACTCAGTGAGCCCAGTGTGAGACAGTACCTGGCACACAGTAGTTGCTTAATAAAAACAACTGTTTTTATTAAATGATGTAGTGAAATAATGTAGTGAAATCTCTGGAGAATGGAACAGCTCTCCCCCCTCCATCCTCCCATCACCCTGCCCCATGGCAGAGCACAGGCCTGGGCACACACGTGCATGCTCTCGGGTCCTAGGAATCTTTTCTGGAACAAAGTCGATAGCTAACAAATAGGGGACTGTGGCTTCGAAGCTCAGCTAACAACCACCTCGGCCTTGTCTGTGTGACTGGCCCGGGAATTGCAAATGAAGGGTTTGGGGACCCAGCAGCTTTGTGGCTTCATTCCAGTGAGAATACAAGATGCACTTGAAATAAAGAACGCTTCTTTGTGACTCATTAGACTCTGCTCTGTTCCTCTCTATTAGGCCTGTGCCTGCCATGCCTTGCAAAGCTCTGACATTCAAAAGTGGAGGAGTCGGGGAGAAATAAAAACATTTCCCTTCGGTGCCTAAACCATGTGCCCCTTAATTTGAAATGAATCTCTGACAACTGACAGATACTTCTTTCAGACTGTTGTGGAGAGAGGCTTGACTTGTCCTAGTAAATCAGACACACGGGCTTCATTATTTTTAGTCTCGTTAAAAAAATGTTACCATAGCAACTGCACCATCATCTAGGGCAAATGTTATCTCTTTAAGTCAATAACACGAGGAACTGACCCACAAATACTCAGTGGTTCTAGAGGAAGAAATGACTTTTCAGCAAAATTAATTTCTTCTAAGTCTTCACCATTTATCTTCATTTGTAAGCCCAGAATTGCCCCCGCCTCGTAAATAAGAGATATTAGAAGCAACATACAACTTTGTAAGATCCAAGGCTGATTTTTCTCGTATCATTAATTCTATTAGTTCCTCCAAACTTGTAGCTTCGTTTGTGACTTTTATATTCCCCTACGGGAGGCATAATGCTAATTAATATGACCCTTGGGCTGAGCATGGTGCATTTTGAGAGCACAGTGGGGAAAAACATATTGGAGCATGCACATCTTTTGTGAAATCTTAAGAGATCGTTTTAAGTGCAGTAGCAAATGGCTTAGTTCCTGTGGGCCCACGTTTAGTACCTGTGCACCCCAGTGGGTGCTCACTAAGCATTGTTTGGCTTACTTAGTTTGACTCCATTTTTGGTCAGATTTGAAATTATTTGAGAGTACTTATGAAGATTTATGAATATAGTGAATTTTATAACTATGGTAAAGCGAATACCACCAAAATATGAGAATTGGACCTTAAAAATTAAGGCTAACACTTCAGACCTTTTCTCCTACTGAAGATTATGTTGTTAATTGTCACGTCAGATCAAAGCACAGGCTGGTGCCCAAACTTGTGTACTTATATCAGAATGGTGCTAAGGTCTCATAGTCCCCAAAGACTTTGCCTCCTCTCTTCTCATTTTCATATATTTTTTTCACATTTCATAACTTTGAAATCAGGATATGCCTCATCATTGCTGGGGTGACATAATTTTTTATTGGTAGCTTTTTATTTATTAGTGGTACAATGATAATGATGCATTTTGGGGGGAAGGAAAGAGAAACAACATTTCTTGCCTATCACGTACCAAATACTGTGATATGCCATTTATAGACATTATTTTGTAGAATCCTCACACAACCCCTATTTAAGTGGCATTTTCAATTTCATGGGAAGCTGAGGCTCGGGAAGTTGTGAGACTTGTCCAAGATCACAAGTTGGCAAGTGTCAGAGTCAAGGTTTGAATGCGAACGTGGCTGACTTTATTGTAGTGTGACCCTCCGGATTCTCCATCTGACTTGTTCTCGGCTTGTTCTGTCCATGAAATAGTTTGCGTATCCTTAACTCTGGAGCTGTGAAGGACCTTAGGAGTCATGGGGTCCAATCCCCTGTGTTACAGATGAGGAAACTGAGGCTGAAAGAAGTGACTTGTTCCAGGTAGTCACAAAGGAAGTTGTGTGGCTGAGAATGCAGGTGGCTGAGCAAGGGAAGAGCGTGCTCCAGGCTCTGCCGATGTCACCATCTCCTGCACACGCACAGTGTGTACCCAAGGCCTTCTGCACCTGGGGCTCCCTCCCCTACAGGCCTTTGTTGCTCGGTCTCCCCTTCAAGGTGCTGACACTTGGCTCATTCCTCTGGTGTCATGCTCCCCCCAGAATTCAAGAGGATTGCTCATATATGTCCCTTCTCCCTTCTCCTTACCCCTAGAAAACTTATATCTTTCATCCTCTTAGGTGACAATGAATCCACGTGAAGATGACAGAACAAAATGAGAGAAGATTCTGCAGGGCCTGTGCTTGGGGACATTGCTCACATCTTCACTTGCTTTTTCAGGAGAGTGACTTTGATGGTGGGAACTTCAATGAAGATTGAAGGGAAGGTCCAGACGCATAGACTGTGATGCAGATTTATTCTGCAGGTATCAGGGCTCTAATTAGCCTTTGAAATCAGGCTGCAACCTCTCACTCTGCCCAGAGAGAGGCAAGTGACATGGCATAGTGCAGAGATTGCAATAAGTGGCATTCATACACCATTCCTCTTTCCTACACCCATGCTGCTGAAGCTGGTGGGCCACTGCCCTTTGCACTTGGACTGGCTTCATTGCCTTCTTAATACAGAGTTCCAGGGAGATGCTTCCAATTGACCATAGTTGGTTACAGTCATGAAGTAGACCCATTTGCAATTCCCAGTGTTGTTGAAGGCTTTGGAAGTGGGCAGGTTACAAAATGATAGCACCTCCATTTCTCCCAATGTAAAAAGGAGAAAATGATAATTGATTTACAGAATTGTTGTAAGGCTTAGAAATAACATAAATGAGAGCCCAGCAGATTCCTTGGTGCCTGGTACATAGTGGTTGCTTTGTGACTATAAATGTCATTATTATAAGGTTAACGCTGATGGGATGGAAGGCATGATGCCACAGCTCTGCACTATAAGGAAGCTGGAGATTGTGAAAGAAAGGTGCTCTTGGTCTTTTGTTGTCTCTCTTTATTTCGTGATACTGCAGATACAAGTATGTATGTTTCAGGTCTAAAAAGGGTTGAGTGGCGCTCTTCAGAAAAGCAGCTCAGCGGGGCAGCTCACTGCAATTGGCCAGCTCTCGGCCCAGCAAGTTAGGAAGATCACACCAGGTAAGCAGTCTGTCCCCAGAGGACCCTAGTTCTGGTTATGCTACCCACAGGCTGAAGGGCTGAAGAAAGTCCCTTATTCCAAGTCTAGTTCAATTTTCTATTAAACACATTTAATAATCCAGTTCTAGAGCCGGGGTGGTATATGGAAGGATTCACTGAGTGTTGCTTGCTCTATGCTTTAAAAAATCAAACCTTTAATGAGTAGCACATTTATTTAAAGAACACCTTTCTTTGCCGAAAATGGAAATGCTTTATCTTCTTTATTTAGTTTCACTACTTATTTAATGTTTATCTTAAATATCTCTGGCTATGTCATTATTTGCTATGATATGTAAACTCCTAAGGGCAAAGATGATGCCTGCTTCATTTACTTTTTAGAGCACACAGAAAAATGCCATGAACAAGTATGTTTTTAATCTATTTGTATGCGGTTATTACAGATTGGAATATAAACTCTGTCCCATACTCATAAAAATGTTATTTTGTTCTTATTTTAACCTTTTAAGACCAAAAATATAATGAATCATCTCCATTACAGCAGCATTGAATGTCTTTACATTCAGTACAAATGCATACCAATTGGTTTATTTTAACAATATTAATATTAGTTGAATTTCTATTATACAAGACTTCCCAATGTAGAAAATGTGAAAAATATTGAAAACTACATAAAAGAAATGAAAAGTTGTCTTTAATTCCTATGCTGGAAGATAATAACTTTGAACATCTTGGTATTTTTTTCCTAAATGATTCATTTTAAGGTGTTATTAATATTATCTAATACTTAACTAATTTTAAGACTTTTGACATGTTTCTTCTCACTGTGATTTCCATCCTTTCAGTTAGTGATGCTGTGTTCTTTCCAGTAAGAATTATTGTTTTGTTATTTTTCAATGTATTGAAACGTTGTGAATTAAAGGAAAGAGTTTGCCGTGAGCTGCTGGTGACTTACTCTTGTTTCAAAGGAAATTGTGGTTACCATGAAGGAAAATCTAATCCATCTTGCCCCAGTGCATTTGTTCTCCTTAGAACCAGGTGAACTACCTCTGACTATTTCCCTAGGATTATGTCTCCCACCAAGGTAACTTTCTGTTTCAGTAGGTGATGTTAAGCAACAGAACAACACCCTTTAAGTTAATCAGTTTTGGAAAATAGAGACTGGCTTTATATTCCACGGCTTTGATGTGTTGAGTAGTTCCTGTAAGGATTTGCCTCTCTTTTGTTTTGATTGACAAGACCTTTCCTATATATTTGAGCAGTCAAGCAGCCCAGTAACAGAGGGTAGAGACATTTACTCAGAGCAAACTTCTACCACTCCTTGTGAGTTACTGAAATCGTGGGTGCAAGTTTCAGCTCTAAAAGAAGCTCCAGCAAGAATAGGTAAGTGCTGCTCCTTATTCATAACTTCACTCCAGCCGAGGGAAGCCCGGAGAGCCTCGTGGTGACAGGTCAGAAGTAGGAACTGTGAGATCAGATTTGGAAATAAGTAACTTGGCAGCCCATCTTAAGCCACAATGAATTTGATGGTGGTGGTGGGGGGGGGGGGCATAGGGCAATGTCCTCCTTCCTTCATCATCCAGTGCATCTTTCCAGTGGGCCAAGCACGAAGGAGGGATTCTGGCTCCTGAAAGAGCACAAGGAATGACCAAGACCAAGAGAGAATGGACTTGACAGTAGATTGGGATTATGTTTTAAATACTCCCTATGCTTCCCATCATTTGGATTTAAACTGAGTCACAACTAGGTGCTTATTCCAGCAGAAGCATAGAGCAGAGGCAGTCTGTAGTGAGTAGGACACGTTTTTATAAATGGCCACCAAGTCAGGTGCCAGGTTCCATAATATCTTCTGCTTATCTGTTTTGTGGCAGGTCAGGTTAGTAACAATACATATGGGGAATACTATTATTAATATTTATTTGCCTGCCCATTCATTTCCCATCCATCACACTGAAAATACAATTTTGAGCAAAATATATAACATGGTACCCAAATACCCTAGACTCGAACAAAAATAATTTATGTATTATGTCAGGACATATATTATGTATTATGAATATGTATTAGGGTATGTATTTCTTTTGGCGTTGCTCATAGTTTATGTTCATATTGAAGCGACCACAGGGACAAACTTCTTTGACACACGAGTCACCTGCAGCAGTTGGGCACCCCACGGAAAAGCCTGAGAAAGCAGTTGGAGGGGTGGGTGTCTAGAGAGGTCTGTGGAATCCACACTGGCTTGAGTTACAGGAGACTTTGGGCACCTGATGGCGTTTGTGGGCATTTACAATCTCTTGGCTCATTTTCCCTGGGACGCTAAGGGCGACGTCCCTTTGATAGCGGCCACTGAGGGCCACTGGGCCCGTTAAACTCTCTTTCCTTCCCCTCCGTGGAGGAGCGGCATGAAGCTGGCGCACCTCTTCCTCGGCCCCGTGGCCCTCCTCCTCCTCCTGGCCGGCGGCGCCCGCGTCCTCGGCACCTCCGGCGGGGACCTGCGCACCTTCGTGGGCTGTGCCGTGAGGGAGTTTACTTTCCTGGCCAAGAAGCCAGGCTGCAGGGGCCTTCGGATCACCACGGATGCCTGCTGGGGGCGCTGCGAGACCTGGGAGGTGAGTCGCGGAGACAGGCGCAGACCGCAGTGCCTTCCGGGCTGGTAGAACTGGGGCATCTGCCCTTCCTGTGATTTTTTTTTTTTTTTTTTTTTTTTTGAGACAGAGTCTCGCTTTGTTGCCCAGGCTAGAGTGAGTGCCATGGCGTCAGCCTAGCTCACAGCAACCTCAAACTCCTGGGCTCAAGCAATCCTGCTGCCTCAGCCTCCTGAGTAGCTGGGACCACAGGCATGTGCCACCATGCCCAGCTAATTTTTTCTATATATATTAGTTGGCCAATTAACTTCTTTCTATTTATAGTAGAGACGGAGGTCTGGCTCTTGCTCAGGCTGGTCTTGAACTCATGACCTTGAGCAATCCACCCTCCTTGGCCTCCCAGAGTGCTAAGATTACAGACGTGAGCCACCATGCCCGGCCCTTCCTGTGAATTTAACAAACAAAATAAAACAATGACTGGCATCTTCCAAAAATGATCTGGAAAACACGATGTTGCCCCTTTAACAGAGCACCAATAAGATTCATAATTTTATTTACGTGGTGCCTGTGTGCCTGGGAATCACCTCTGGGAGGCCAAGAGGTGCTGCCACTGTCCTACCCCTATTACAGATGACATGGAGGGTTGCAAGGGACAGTGATGCAGAGTCATGTAGAGACTAGTGGAAAGCTGGGGATAAATTCTTGCCTGGCCAACTAATATATATAGAAAGAATTAGCTGGGCATGGTGGCGCATGCCTGTAGTCCCAGCTACTCAGGAGGCTGAGGCAGAAGGATCGCTTGAGCCCAGGAGTTTGAGGTTGCTGTGAGCTAGGCTGATGCCATGGCACTCACTCTAGCCTGGGCAACAAAGCGAGACTCTGTCTCAAAAAAAAAAAAAAATTCTTGCCTGGGACCAAAACTCTACCCTGGAGCCCCTCATCTGTGGTAACTCAGCCAGTTACCCAGGAAGATGCCCTGAGCTGAAGATGAGTAAGGGGTGGTCCCAGGCCCCTCTTCAGTGCCTCTCTCACAGCCCTGTCCCTTCAAGTCCCCGGGGCCCCTATGGACTCTCACTGACAGATCCATCAAATCCCTTTATATTCAATTATTCTTTTTAAATAGCCTCATGAAATCTCATGCTGGTCCTTTTCTCATGTCCCTTGTCATTTCCACCTGCATTAGCATAACTGTTCCCTGCAGCTCCTTCCCTGAGCCTCTTCTGACTCCCGTAGGCCCTTGACTAGGCTCTACATTTTCTCTTACTCCCTTGACCACCACAAACATGATTTTAAGTTCTTTGAGAGCAGAAGTTCAGTCTTGTGACTTTCACAGCTTTTGTCAGTGTCATGTACGAACGAGGCAGTCAACATATACTTTTGGGATTAAATGGGAGTGGCCTCTACCTGGAGTCACATGTCCTCTTCCCTAATGGAAGACAACGGAGAAGCACCTGAGCACCACGAGCGGACATGGCCACAGGGAAAATGTCCTTCTCTTCAGGGACTCAGAGAGCAACCTGCTCTTGCTTAGATAAGATGATGGCCCTATGAATGGAATTGGGTTATGGCTGTTGAAATGTCCAAATTGAATGAAACTACTTCACTAAATTAGTCTTATTTTTGCATCGTCCAGGGGCTTGAGACCTACTAGCCAAATAAAAATTCAGTTTTGCTAAGTGGACCTTGTCCGTCAGCTGACAGCAAGCTTACTCAAAACATTTTGGCACATCTTCCTATTTAGGGCTTGGCCCGGCAGTGCCTCTCTCTGCTTGCGTCTAGTATCTGGGCTATTTAGAGCTCTTTCTCTGCCAAATTCTCAAACTCCTGTTTCCCTTCAATTCAGCTCATCTTCTCCTTTGAAAAATTGATGAATGTCTTTAATTGGATCATGGTCACCATAGGCGGTCAGGGACTGTGCTCTCACTGGAGAAATGGAAACACCAAGATCATTAAAGAACAAAATTCTGCCTAATTTTAGCCAGCTTTTATTTATATCTTTACCGTGTCATGAAAAGGGAGGTTATGCATAGAAAATAAATAAAAGAATAAGGTTTTGCCAGCAATCTGAAAGTTTCTGAGATATAAAGCACTTTTTTTTTTTTTTTGGTAATTTAACTGGGGAACATGTCTGAAAATAAGGATGTTCATGATGACAAAGAGGCTAGATTTGCTTTCAAAGGTGGAATTGTTGCTGAAAATAATTATTTCTCATGACCTGGCTTTAGAGTTGCCAGATTTAGCAAACAAACAAACAGAACAAAACAACCAACACCCTCCCCACTCAAGACTCCCTATAAAAAAAAAAAATCCAAACTGAAACAAAACAAGAAAATCAGATGCCCAGATAAATTTAAATTACAGATGAACAAATAATTTTTTTAGTGTGTGTCCCAAATATTGCATAGGACAGCTTTATACTGAAAATGATTTATCTGAAATTGAAATTTTACTGGGTGTCTTGTCTGCCTAAGTTCCTAGAGTACCTGAGGGTCAAAAGACAGGAAACAAACTAGGGAAGGCAGGAGAAAACAGTCGAGGACAAATTCAGCTCTTCTGCACGGTCCTTGTCAAAGGCACGGCTACTATTTTCATGACATTCACACAAGAACTTCATCTTGGGTTTACATATGTACATATATTTATTATATATAATTATTACATATAGATTTATTTCTTTTTTCCCCAGAACAAGTGAAGGCAGTTCCTTTGAAAGCTGGTTGTTATTGTTTTCATTATTACTTCCTTATAATAATTGCTCTAATATGAACAATGTCTTACATTTATTGAACTCTTACTTTGTGCTAGGCATTGTGCATGGTATATATCATCTTACCTTATCTCCCAAGCAATGCTATGAGGTAGATAATTTGTTTTACAGATGAGGAAACTGAGGCTCAAAGAAGTTAAGTGGATTTTCCAAGGGCTCCAGCAAGTGGCAGAACAGGGACTCAAGCTCAATAGTTCTGACTGCAGGGTTTGAGACTTTTAATGATTACCTTGTGCTGATTTATTCTGATCTATGTGCTCTGTTTATCAAAATTGTCTCTGAATTCAAGATTTATAGAAGGTGATTATCAGAACAGGGCATGGACCATTCAGGAACCTGCCTTGCTGTGTTTTCTTTCATTGATTCAACAACAAATAAGTTATTGAGAACCTCTTGGGTACCATTGTACATACTGGAGGCACGGCAGTGAGCACACAGGCAAAATCCCTGTCCTCAAGGAGCGTACTTTCTAGAGTGGGAGAAATATCACACTAATGAATAAAAGATAAAATACGTCGCATAGCATTGACAAGTACTTTGGAGAAAAATAAAGCAGGAAAGGTGATAGGAAGTTTCCAATTGTGGAGATGGGATGTTGCAGTTTTACAAGGAGGGATAGTTAGGAAATGCTTCCCTGAGAGGGGGACGTCTGAACCAAAACCCAAGGTTGGTGAAGGAGGGAATCATATGGGAGAAGAATGTTCCAGGCAGAAGGAACAGCAGGTGCAAAGCCCCTGAGCTGGAACTGTTCCTGGTGGGTTTGAGGAACAAGAAAGAGACTGTCGTGGCTGCAGTCTAGTGAGGAAGTCAGAAAGGTGGGGATGGTCATAGACATACCAGAAGGGAAAGGTGAGGGAAGGTGAAGTGGGGGTCTTGGGGTGAGCGTATGGCTTTGAGTCTTGCTCTGAGTGAGAAGGGAAATCACTGTGGCTTTGAGCAGAGAGTAACATGATCTGGTTATGTTTTAAAAGGATCACTCTGGGCCACTTTATTGCAAATAGGGTGCAGGGAGTAACGGTGGAAGAGGGGAGACTAGATAGATAGAGGTGTTTGCAAAGATCAAGATTATTCATGTGTTAAATATTTATGGAGCGCTTGCTGTGTGCCATGGACTCTCCTGGGAGCTCAGGATATGGTAGTGAACGAAATCAGCTTCCTGCTTGCGGGAGTTTGCTTTCTACTGGGAGGAGACAGAGCAACAAATACACAAATGAATAGCAAGTTAATTTCTGCTAGTGATAAATGATACCAAGAAAATGAAGCAGGGTGGTATGTTCTAACGAATTCCATTTTCTACCTGTGGGGACAGAAGCCCATTTTGGAACCCCCCTACATTGAAGCCCATCATCGAGTCTGTACCTACAACGAGACCAAACAGGTGACCGTCAAGCTGCCCAACTGTGCCCCGGGAGTCGACCCCTTCTACACCTATCCCGTGGCTGTCCGCTGTGACTGCGGGGCCTGCTCCACTGCCACCACGGAGTGTGAGACCATCTGAGGCTGGCGTGGTCTGCAGAACGCAGCTGGCTGCCTTGAGCCTCACAGACCCACCTGCGCAGGCAGCACAAGCAGCTCTACCCCCTGGATGCAAGACTGTGTGATTTTGACCATAACTGTGGAGGAGGTTACCTGTCTCCCCTTAGGTCCAGCTCAGGCACAAGGCCCAGAGGCAGCATACTTATGTTAAAAGTGCAAAACAACATTTGTGCCTTCTCCAAAATAATTTATCTGGTTCATACATGTGAAATTAATTTTTCTTTGCCTTGGGCCTTGGAACATAATTTATGTATCACAATCTTCCACTAATTTGGACTTATAATATGCCAATGATGTAAATGCATTGGATGTAATTAGGAAAAAGGGCTGGGAAGTCTTCAAATTCTCACATTCTGGTTAACCATGGATCTCCAACTGGGCTTATGATTAAAGGACTGGAAATTAACAAAACCAATGTACTAGTTTTCCTTACCCCAAAGGAAATCCAACTGCTAGCTTCCTTAGAGAAAACGTTCCCTTCCCTGTTTAACTGAGCAATTATCTGCACAAGAAATAGACACTGCTCAGATTTGTAAAGAGAGTAGCTCAAATTAAAAGATGTTTGGATTTGGGTAATTCTTTTTCCAAGCAAAATTCCCTAAACTCCCTTAAGATCCTTAATAAAAAGGCTACATGGTGATTAAGAAACCTCAGAAATAAAATATGTAACTAGAAGCTATCATTTAGCCTTAAAAGCTGATGAAATTAAACTCATGTTTTTAGAGCCCTCCCAATGTTATGGCAAAATGGCCGCTCAGAAGTATTCTTCCTCATTTAGCATATTTTAAATTTATATTATAATCTATTAAACTCAGAAATTGTACAAGTTTTTAGGGGTAAAACTGCACTGCTGGCTCAGAGAAAAAAAGTCTGTGATTATGTAGCTCTTGCCCTAAGATCTTACAGCAGCTCATTCTGTGACTTTTAAAAAAACTCTAATGTTATGCAAATGTCTTTAATTCTGGCATTTTTGGGGTTGAATTTAACCTTGTTCCTTTTTCATAACATGCCAGGAACATCTATATTAATGCCAATAAAGCATGTCCTCTGTCTTTTGAACTCATGAAAACTTTTAAAAAAGTCTTTTTCATCTTTAATGCACTTGGAACAACAGTAAGAAGCACACACAAAATAAACTACAAGGTTATTTTCACTTAAGCATTAGTTTGGGATGCCATGTTTAGTAAGGGACACAGACAGATGACTCTGGGGAGCCTGTGTCCCGAAGGTGGCACAATCTGCACATACAGACCCCTGGCATATCACAGCTGGGAGGAATGAGGAGTCAATGAGTCCTCATAAAAACAGCAAAGCAAATGCTGGGCTTGATGGTCACGTACTGGCATGCTGGGTGACTATCTCAGGGCAAGGGGCCTGGGCAAAATGTACCTTGACCCTGAGCAGATCTGTTGTTAGAAAAGGAAGTAACTAACATAAATAACAAGGAATTCAGTGCCTGGGGTTTCGGTGGGGGGTGGGGATTGGGGGGATGCTTAGGGGTGATATTGGGTAGCACCACTCAAGTGTTTTCAGCTCAGCCCTAAGAAGCTCCCTCGGGATTTGCTGAGGCACTAAGGGCTTGCTGCAATTTAAGAAAAGATGATCACAGGATCAGTAAGGGGCCTGGGCAGGACACAGATGGTATGCTGTAGTGGGATGTTGAGGAGCATTCAATGAAGAGACTATTTATTAATATAAACATGTGGGCAGAATTAAGGCAACCACAGAGGGGAGGGGAAACACTTCTGGCTTAGAAGCAATGGGTAACCCTAGGCTGAAGGAACAAGAAGAGGGGGTATCTATCACCAGACACCAAAGAGAACTGTAGGAGTGGGACCCTTGACAGGAGCCACAGCCCTTGGTAGGAGGAGGCAGCCAGCACCAAACTGAGGACTGGTAGGGAGGGAGGTGGGGGAGCAAACATCCCAGCCTAGCTCTCTTCCCATCCCTCCCCAACCCCAGTCTTCTGCTAACTCAGATGGGAGTCAAACTGGAAGGCAGAGAGAGGGGAAACCCGTTGATTCAGTCTGTAAATGTGGGCCTCTCACGCAGCAGGTTGAAGGAAGGTGGAGCACTCTCTTAGTGGGTAAATGGATACTATCCAGCTTAGCTATCTTTCGGGAAGCTCAGCTATAATGCAGTAGGCAGTCACGTTGGCTGGGAGGGCAATAAGACGTGCTGTAGCATCGCAAGTACAGTCACGTGTTGCTTAACTACAAGGACACCTTCTGAGAAACACATCATTAGGCAATGTCATTGTTCTTACACAAACCCAGAAGGTACAACAGCTTACTACACACCTAGGCTATACTGTATAGCCCATTGCTCCTACGTTACAAATCTGTGCATCGCGTTTCCGTACTGAATACTGTAGACAATTGTAACACAACAGTACATATTTTGTTTAAACATAAAAAGGGTTCCATTACAGTCTTATGGCACCACCGTCATATATGCTGTCCGTCATTGATCGAAATGCCATTATGTGGTGCATACCTGTACTAAGACTCCCCTGTGGTGAATTGGTATGGGTTACACAGGGCAAGGCATGCACTAACTAATACAATACCTGTAACATTTAGGAGATATGAGGACAATGGTAATTACAAGGACTGTGGGATGAGTTGGTGAAGTGCAATCAAAGCCCTCGGGGCATGGTATGAAAGCTGCATTTGAAGAGACTCTTCTGATGCATCTGGGAGCTGAAAATCAGGCATAATATCTAGTTGGGAGAGCAACTGAATTATTCAAAAGGCTGAATCTATCACCCTGGCAAGTCTCCCACTCATAAGTCAAGGTCCTAATAGGACAAAAGTGGGACACAGACACCTAGAATGGAAAGGATTAGGTGGGTGCACTTGAGGTTTCCCTGCAGAAGGGACCTTCCTGCTCCTTCTTGCAAGAAAAGCTGACTTCCTTGCTTGGGGACTATGCTGAGGAGGGAACTTTATACGATGATACTTGGCCTCTTCAAATAATGCCCACAACCCTTTATTGTTCTAGGTGGATAATTAAGGTCAAGCCTCAGGACGATCTGGTTGAGGAAAGACTTGCCTGTGGGAGGAATGAGATTCTCCATTCAAGAAGCTTTAGGACTTGACAATGTAAACCAGAAGGAACTGGTAGAATGTGTTTGGCAATGGATCTTGAGGGTTTCAGACTTGGATGGAAGGAGGAGAGTGGCAGAATATAAGACTAGGTAAGAAGAGTTTATCCATATGGGGGCATTCCCAACATGTGACATCATCATAAAGGCACCTGGATCTGATCCCAGCGTGCTGTTGGGATGGCTCCTTCAAGCTTGGGGAAAACAGTGGAAGAAAAAAATCAACGAAGAAAAAAATGCCAGAACTGTCCTGGCAGAGTACTGAGAACAAAAGGCTCAGAGAGGTGGGCATGCCAGAATGGATTTATTACAGAAGACCAGAGAACTCAGCAGCTGGCTATGTGTAATGGACACTCCCTTCACTAAAGCAAAAAGGAATGCACTAGTGACGGGCACCTATGTTATCGAAAAGCTCGATGGTGGCTGTCTTTTGTAGGCTGAGGTTGATGCCAGGGGAAGCTGCCATGGAACTGGGCTCACGGTGTTAGCAGAGGTGGTAGGGTCTGGGATAGCAGAGACCAGGTGGTGACATGCAGTCATAAGAGGAAGGTGACATAATTGCTGTAAACCGGCAGCAAAGCTGCAATGGCAACCAGAGGGCTCTGACGTGCAGGATCTGTGGTGCTGGCTAATAGTCCATGGTATTAAAAAAATGTCTCTGATAGATATATATTATAATCAAGAAAAGTTATTAATGGAAAAGAAGACATTTCTCAGCATTTACACCAGTACTAAACTTGAATCTTTTTCAAATCTCCCTCTTCCTTTTTCCTCCCTCCATCCCTCCCTTCCACAAATATTAACTATAATTTTGTGCAAGACTCTGTGTTTGGGATATAAAGATATAAATATTGTTACCCTTTATGGATCTCTTACTATAAGCAGGACCCATTATATTAATTCTTCTCAATTCTTGTGTCAACCGTGCTAGTATGCATTGTTATTGTCATTTTACTATTACCACTTTACAGATGATGAAACGGAAGCTCTGAGAGGTCATGTAACTTGTCCAAGGTCACAGAGCTAATACACTGCACATGCCAAGTTTCTCTGAATGAGAACCAAACCTTTTCCACTAGAGTATGAGGAATTTTTGGAATGCTTCTTCCAAGTCATTCCTGCTTGGAAAGGTCTTTGAGTTTATTGTCAGACTGTCTGTCACCATTGATTTAGCATCTTCAGTCTTTCTGGGAAGTGGCTCACTGCAAGGTCAGGCTATTTTGACCAGGAGATTAGAATTTTTCTCTGGTTTCTCATATAACCTCTAGGAAGATAATGTTTTGCTGCAACTCAAGTCAAAGCTTACAACAGAAGAGACTGAGAGGGAAAAGAAGCAGACCCTCAAAGGGAAATTCAGAGAGACTGCTTTGGAGACAAAGGCCGTATGCTTATACTTGTTTCCTAGGCAATGGAAAAGTGGCCCAGGGGAACCGACACTGGTGCACAAACTCTCAGCAAGTCCTTACTCTTGGAGATATGTCTATTTTGTAGTTAATAAAAGGAAAGAAGCAGAGGAATTTCCCGGAATTTTATTTTTTCATGGGACCATTTTTGTTTTGTTTTCTTTTTTTTTGAGACAGAGTCTCACTCTGTTGCCCAGGCTAGAGTGAGTGTCGTGGCGTCAGCCTAGCTCACAGCAACCTCAAACTCCTGGGGTCAGGCGATCCTCCTGCCTCAGCCTCCTGAGTAGCTGGGACTACAGGCATGTGCCACCATGCCCGGCTGATTTTTTCTATATATATTAGTTGGCCAATTAATTTATTTCTATTGATAGTAGAGACGGGGTTTCACTCTTGCTCAGGCTGGTTTCGAACTCCTGACCTCGAGCCCGCCTTGGCCTCCCAGAGTGCTAGGATTACAGGCGTGAGCCCAGCCCATTTTTGAATGAAGAATATAGCTTCCTACAGCTTCTTCCACTTCTGGATTTATTAGATCTATTGATTGAAACACAGCCATTTGTGCTTCTCTTCTACCATTGGTTAGGAAATGAATGAGCCCCTAGGAAAGTATAATACCAAATTCTTCTGTAGTGGCCCAATTAACTCTTCAAATTAATTAGATTTTTAATGGAATAAAATAATTTCAGAGAATAAATGAACTATGCATCTAGTGGAAATAATGTAGCATTGATAAAACAAATTGTATTCCATAAAGTTTTCCAAGAGGATGGTTTATCTTTTTCCTCAGGAGACATTCTCTTCAAAATAATGTGCATCTTCTCCTCTTTGGCTCCCTTCCTCAAGACATTAAGCAAACTATTAAGGAGTAACTTTTTATTAATCCACTCATGTATTGATGGGCACTTGGATTGTTTCCACATCTTTGCAACTGTGAATTGTGCTGCTATAAACATTCGAGTGCAGATGTCTTTTTTATAGACTGTCTTTTTATCCTTTGGGTAGATGCCTAGTAGTGGGATTGCTGGATCAAGTGGTATTTCTATTTTTAGCTCTTTGAGGTATCTCCAAGTTACTTTCCATAGGGGTTGTACTAATTTGCAGTCCCACTAGTAGTGTAAGAGTGTTCCTATCTCTCCACATCCACACCAGCATTTATTATTTTGGGACTTTTTTTTTTTTTTTTTTTTTTGAGACAGAGTCTCACTTTGTTGCCCAGGCTAGGGTGAGTGCCCTGGCATCAGCCTCGCTCACAGCAACCTCAAACTCCTGGGCTCAAGCAATCCTCTTGCCTCAGCCTCCCCAGTAGCTGGGACTACAGGCATGCGCCATCATGCCCGGCTAATTTTTTCTATATATATTAGTTGGCCAATTAATTTCTTTCTATTTATAGTAGAGACAGGGTCTCATTCTTGCTCAGGGTGGTTTCGAACTCCTGACCTTGAGCGATCCGCCCGCCTCGGCCTCCCAGAGTGCTAGGATTACAGGCGTGAGCCACCGCGCCCGGCCTTGTTTTGGGACTTTTTGATAAAGGCCATTCTCACTGGAGTTAGGTGATATTTCATGGTGATTTTGATTTTCATTTCCCTAATTATTAGAGATGTTGAGCACTTTTTTTATATGTTTGCTGGCCATTATTCTATCTTCTTTTGAAAATTTGTGTTCATATCCTTTGCCATTGATTGATGGGGTTGTTTGATTTTTTCTTGTTGATTTTCTTAAGTTCTATATAGATTCTTGTTATCAGCCCTTTATCGGATATGTAAAAAGGAAATATTTTCTCCCATTCTGTAGGTTGTCTATTCACTCTAATGATAGTTTCCTTGGCTGTGCAGAAACTTTTTAATTCGATCAGGTCCCATTTATTTATTTTTGTTGCTGCTGTGATTTCTTTGGGGCTCT